TGGCAGATCCCAGCTGTGCCTGCCTGCGGCTCCCCCAGGGCCGTGTGTGTGTGGAGAGAATAACGGGAGGTGGAGGGGCGGGGGTGACGTAGACCACGGGGGCCCATTGGTGGTGCTGAGTGAGGGCGCGGGACCAGGGCGAGTGGCGGGTGCGACAGGATGTGTGCCAGGCCCAGGTTACACTAACAGCCCTTCCCAAACCGCAAGGGCCATGGGCCTTGTTATAGAGAACGCCACGGGGCGGCCTGGACTTGCAAAGGGAGCTCGCAATCTGCTGCCTGCATCCTGCAGGGATACAGAGAAGGTAGCCGGGCGGGTGGACTGTCCCTTCTCTAAAAGCGACGAGGAGTCCTGTGGCACCTTATAGACTAACTGAAGTGTAGGAGCATAAGCTTTCGTGGGCAAAGACCCACTTCGTCAGATGCATGGGAATGCCAGGCGAATCCCAACCCAAATGCCTCAAGCTACTCTTTGATATTCAGAGCAAAGGGGCTGCGGAAAGAGGGTGAGAGAATAGAAAAGGAAGAGAGAGGTTCCTTGCTCTGTGGTAATGGACATGAGATAAGAGGAAGGACTGTGGCTAAGGCCTTGGACAGAGACTCAGGAGGGCACAGGTCAGTTCCTGGCTCTTCCCCCACATCAGGCCTCGGCCTAGTCCCTTAATCTGTCCGTGCCGCCTTTGCGCATGTGTAAAATAATAACTCTTCCTTTTTCCTGCCCTTTGTCTGGCTCGGTCTGTTTGGACCAGAGCTGGGCGAGAGCCTGTCAGTGGGCCGGATCCGGCCTGCCAAGCTCTTTCATCTGGCCCACAGGGCAGCCCCCGGCCCCGCCCCCTACACGTAGCCTGGGAGCTGCAGGGAAGGCATGAGCCCTTTCAACTCGCTCCGCCCCACCAGGCCGCCCAAGCAGGACTGGCCTTGTGCTGAAACGGTTTAATAGGGAGAGCAGCACCCTCCATCCTGCCCCCTCTGCCTAGGCACAGCTTTACTGCCACTCTCCTCTCCGCTGTCCGAATGAGGCTCCTCCCCAGCCCAGGCCGAGCTGGCTCCCGCCCTGGGGCAGCCCAGAGCACAGAGGCTGCTGCTGCCAAGTTCCCAGTTTAAAGACATCCCCGACTCGGCACCTCCGCACGTGCCATTCGCATAAGGTATATGAATGGGGGAAGTTCCTCTTCCTCTCTCCCTCTGCATGGGTGTGTTTACACTTGGCAGGGTTGTTCCCCGCTCTGGAACCTCATGTGGAGGGCTGCATGAGACTTTAAAAAATAGAGTCATAGGACACTAGAACTGGAAGGGACCTCGAGAAATCATCAAGTCCAGTCCCCTGCCTCATGGCAGGACCAAGCACTGTCTAGATCATCCCTGAAAAATGTCTGTCTAACCTGCTCTTAAATATCTCCGGTGATGGAGATTCCACAACCCCCCTAGGCAATTTATTCCAGTGTTTAACCACCCTGACAGTTAGGAAGTTTTTCCTAATGTCCAACCTAAACCTCCCTTGCTGCAGTTTAAGCCCATTGCTTCTTGTCCTATCATCAGGCCAAGGAGAACAATTTTACTCCCTCCTCCTTGTAACACCCTTTTAGATATTTGAAACCCGTTATCACATCTCCTCTCAATCTTCTCTTTTCTAAACTAAACAAGCCCAGTTCTTTCAGTCTTCCCTCATAGCTCATGTTTTCTAGACCTTTCATCATTTTTGTTGCTCTTCTCTGGACCATTTTCTCCACATCTTTCTTGAAATTTGGTGCCTGGAACTGGAGCAAAGGATCTCAACAGACTGCATGGTCACCCTGGTAAAGGTTAGCTGGGGGATCCCCTGGATGGCGTCCATTGTCAGTGACAGGGCATTTCCTGGGTGTAGGGATGCCTTTGATCTTGGAGTAGCTTCCAACCTGATGCCTAAGTGGGCCATAGGAATTAAAGGGGTTACAGGCTGGATAATAAGCTGCCTTGAATCGAATAAGAACATCTTGAAATCTGGAATCTAGAACTCAAACCAAGCCTGGCCAGAAGCCATGCTGGGGTTTGGAAAAGTCCTGTTAACTTTTCCAAACAGGAACTCAGTGTTAAAATCCATCACAGTTTCTCTAAAGGAAAGTCTGACTTTTCCCGCAGCAAACCAAGGAACCCGCCCCCTTCATTCTAAGCTTCATAGCCTTTAAGGCCCCATCTAACCTGACCACCTACCTAACACAGGCCAGAGAAAATCTGAGTCACATTCCTGCATTAACCCCAGGCCATGTCTCAGAGCATCTTTTCCTAGTCTTGATGTCTTCAAGTAATGGAAAATGTCCTTAAGTAAGTTGTGTCAACGTGTGCCTGTCTGTAGCTTGAATTTGTCTAACTTCTGCTTCTGTAATGCTGATGGGGGAACCGAACTTGGGACCTCTGGAGCTTAGTACATGAGCCTCTACGGCCTGAGCTAAAAGCTTGCTGCTTCTCAGCTAGGGCTCTAGAAAACATGCTCATTCTTTCTCTTTGTAAGTGGTCTAAGGCCAGGTCTCCACTAAAGGGGAAGGTCCAATTAAGATACGCAACTCCAGACACGTTTATTACATAGCTGGAGACGATGTAATTTAATTTGAGTTTCCATGCCATCTCCACAGCGGCAGGAAGCAAGTATTCTTGTCGACTTTCCTTACTCCTTAAGAGGAGCAGGAGTACTCCAATGGGGGAGCCCTCTGAGTTCGATTAAGCAGGTCTTTACTAGACCTGCTAAATCTCCCCGCCCTGGGTCTGCCCGCAGGAGTGCGCCGGCGAACCGCTGTTCTCCCTCTTCTGCGCCATCAAGCAGCAGATGGAAAAGGGCCCCATTGACTCCATCACCGGGGAGGCCCGCTACTCGCTGAGCGAGGCCATCGTGGCAGCGTCCGTCTTCCCCGTAGTGAAGACATGGCCTAAGTGCCACTCCATGGGACAGTGACCCACACCCAGAAGGAGTGTGGGTTACATTTCCACCACTTGGATCTTATTCTGCCTTTCTGTGTTAGACTGAGGAGCTGTCAAAATCTCTTCCCGATGTGAGTATTTGCAGATCCAGGACCAAATCCCTCCTTGACCTTGCCTTGGGTAAATGAAATAGACTGAACTTCTTACATCCCTCGGCTAGAAAGCAGGTTTTCCAGAGCTCAGATAATTCTCAGAGCTCCTTTCTGAATTTTTTTCAGTTGGTCTTTATCCTTTTGGAAGTGAGGGGACCAGACCCAGGACTCCAATATTGTTGTCTCCTGTGCTTGTATACAGAGTTAATACCACCTCCCTCTGCTCCCTTGATGTTTCCCTGCGCGAGCATCCCAAGTGAGGTGGGAATGCCAGGCGAATCCCAACCCAAATGCCTCAAGCTACTCTTTGATATTCAGAGCAAAGGGGCTGCGGAAAGAGGGTCAGAGAATAGAAAAGGAAGAGAGAGGTTCCTTGCTCTGTGGTAATGGACATGAGATAAGAGGAAGGACTGTGGCTAAGGCCTTGGACAGAGACTCAGGAGGGCACAGGTCAGTTCCTGGCTCTTCCCCCACATCAGGCCTCGGCCTAGTCCCTTAATCTGTCCGTGCCGCCTTTGCGCATGTGTAAAATAATAACTCTTCCTTTTTCCTGCCCTTTGTCTGGCTCGGTCTGTTTGGACCAGAGCTGGGCGAGAGCCTGTCAGTGGGCCAGATCCGGCCTGCCAAGCTCTTTCATCTGGCCCACAGGCCAGCTCCCCGCCCCGCCCCCTACACGTAGCCTGGGAGCTGCAGGGAAGGCATGAGCCCTTTCAACTCCTGCTAGTTAAAGGCGCCGCCCCTTCCGCCTGAGGTCCCGCCCCTTCCTCCCAAGGGGCAACCTGCACCCACTTTGAAAAATTGTGAAGTGCCTCCCCAAATTATTGCCCACCCATTTAGACTGTAAGGCTATGTCTACACTGCGCCATTTTGCACAACGAATATGCAAATGAGGCAAAGCGTGGACTATCGTTACGCCTCATTTGCATAATTAATTAGGTTCCATTTTTGCGTAAGAGGCTTTTGTGCAAAAAACCCCTCTTGCGCAAAAACGGAGCCTCATTAATTATGCAAATGAGGCGTAACGATAGTCCACGCTTTGCCTCATTTGCATATTTCTTGCGCAAAATGGGCGCAGTGTAAACATAGCCTAAGTGTTCATGGCAGGGACTGTCTCACTGTGCCTGCCTGCATCTAGTGTAACAGGACCCAGGTCTAAGCTGGAGAAACACAGCAAGGGAGAGAAAAATACAGACCCAGAGAGACAGAGCAATCCTTTTCACCAAGGAAATCCCTGCAGTCCTTTAAGGAGGGTAGATAGAAAGCAGCCAGTGAGAAGGGGTAATAATTATGTATCATCCTGCACAGAGCTCTCTTCCATTTACGCCTGTGTTGTTTGATGTTAATCAGCTTTCCCTGTTACATCTCAAGAGCAGGCGAATATATCCCGATAGAAATCTTAGCCGACTTAGAGAGATCAGCTCCGGTGATGGAGATTAAAAAGAAGCAGAATATGAATGAGGCTTTCCTGCCGTTTGGTCTCTCATTTCTACTGGGCTGTTTTTTCCCATAAATAGTTATTGTTTTGGAGTCTCTTGTTTAAAAAAAAAAAATCCAAGAAAACAAAGGAAGAGCAGCATAGATTTCTCTTACCATGTTTGTAATGCCATCAAAACATCTCCACATCCCTCCCCACTATAGTGTGTTGCAGTAAGTCTGGACGGCAACCACAGGTGTGCACCCGCATTTGGCAATGTGATCTTAACCCATCCACCACGCCCAGAGTCCCGGGTACTTGGAAAAAGCTGTTTGTGGCAATTGGCCGTGAGGTACCAGTTTGGGTCGGGAGAGGTTGGGTTTTTTTTTGCATTCAGCACTTCATTACAGCCGGTCCCCAGGTTGCAAACGGTCGAGTTCTGACCATTCGCATTTACAACCGAAGCGGTCGTAAATGCGGTCCCCAAGTGAGGAACGCGATCCGCGCTCATGAGCAGCGGGATCGCCATGTAACTCAATGGGGTCCAAGTTTCGAACACTTTGAGTTACAGCCAAGTGTTTGGTCTGTAATTCGTTGGTAACTCGGGCAGAGGCGGTATTCATTTCTTGAAATGGTTACTGAAAACAGAATCAGTGAAGTGACTCAGGCTACGTCTATGCTACAGGGTTTTTGCGCAAAAATCCTCAGAGAGTCCATACCTCAAGTGCATTTTTGTGCAAGGAAATTTACAGTGAATTGACAGAACAGAGGGCTTTTTGCGGTATAGGTATTCCTCTTTCTATGAGGAATAACTCCTTTTTGTGCAAGAGCTCTTGCGCAAAAAGGTGTGTGGGGATGGGAAACGGGGGTTTTGTGCAAAAACAGCCTATCGAAAGAAGCACAGCTGCCCTGCTGGCCGTTCTGTGAATCAGAGCTTTCTTCTGAGAAAGCGTCCGTGCCCTCTGGATGCTCTCTTGCGCAAAAGCGCATCGCCCTCTGGATGCTCTCTTGAGCAAAAGTGCATCGCTTTTCTGATGCACTCTTGCAGTGTGGATGCGCTCTTGCGCAAGAAGTTTTTGCAGAAGATCTCTTCTGATAAAAGCTTCTTGTGCGAGAAGCCTGCAGTGTAGACGTAGCCTTAAGGAGCCGGGGTTGCCATCTGGAACTTCTGAACCTCAGGCATATCCCTCGCCCACTAGGTTGTGCTTCTTTGGGCTGTTTCAGCCTATCCCAGGCAACAGAGTCCTGACACTCTGTCTAGAAAGTGATGCCATAGGGTGGAAGGCCAGAAGGGCCTATCCGATCATCTGGTTTGACCTCCTGCCTATGACAGTTCACCAACCCTTCTCCCAATAATTGAAATGGGACCCAAGTATTGCAGCCCACAAGAGACTAAACGAGGATGTGCCGCAGAGAGAGAACTGGAGAGATCAAGGTGTCCCTGCAATAGTCAGGAAATGATTAAGTGCGAAACACCCAGATAATCCCTGCAGGTACCTACGGAATTTGTCAGAGAGAGGTGAAGGGAGAACAGACTTGGACTGGTCAAATGCTCGGCTCTAAAGTCAGATGCAGCTCAGCTGACCATGAGCATTTCTCCAAAGTCTAATTCCTATGTATTCGGATAAATGGAACTGAGTGCCACATTTCAGGAAAGATGTGGAGAAATTGAAAGAGGGTCCGGAGAAGAGCAACAGGAACGATTAAAGGTTTAGTAAACATGACGTATGCGTGGAGATTGAAAACACTGGGCTTGTGTTGTGTGGAGAAGAGAAGTCTGAAGGGGGGGGGCATGATAACAATTTTCAAGTACATAAAAAGTTGTTAAAAGGAGGAGGGGAAAATTATTTTCTTAACCACTGATGATAGGACAAGAAACAAAGGGCTTAAATCGCAGCAAGGGAGGTTTAGATTGGACAATAGGGAAAGCTTTTTGACTGTCAGGGTGGTGAAACACTGGAGTAAATTGCCTAGGGAGGTTGTGGAAACTGCATCACTGGAGGTATTTAAGAGCAGGTTGGACAGACATCTCTCTGGTATGATCTAGATGGTTCTTGATCCTGCCATGAGGGCAGGGGACTAGACTGGATGACCTCTTGAGGTCCCTTCCAGTCCTATGATTTTATGATACAAACGTCTATAAAGCTCACCTAGGGTATTTCTCCAAATTTCAAAGTAAGTCATTTGTATTTTTTCCCCCTGAAATAGCTTATTTTGAAATAGCACATCTACACTACAGGGAACATAAGAACATACCATAGGAACATAAGAATGGCCGTACTGGGTCAGACCAAAGGTCCATCTAGCCCAGGAGTCTGTCTGCCGACAGTGGCCAGCACCAGGTGCCCCAGAGGGGGTGGACCAAAGACAATGATCAAGCGATTTGTCTTGTGCCATCCATCTCCAGCCTCTGACAAACAGAGGCCAGGGACACCATTTCTGTCCTCTGGCTAATAGCCTTTTATGGACCTAACCTCCATGAAATTATCTAGCTTCTCTTTAAACTCTGTTATAGTCCTAGCCTTCACAGCCTCCTCTGGCAAGGAGTTCCACAGGTTGACTATGCGCTGTGTGAAGAGAACTTTCTTTTATTAGTTTTAAACCTGCTACCCATTAATTTCATTTGGTGTCCTCTAGTTCTTCTATTATGGGAACTAATAAATAACTTTTCTTTATTCACCCTCTCCACACCACTCGTGATTTTATAGACCTCTATCAAAATTAGTCCGAAGCAGGAATTATGGATGCGCTACCTCGAATTAGAGCCCCAGGAGGTACTGGGGAGTAATTCCTTCGATAGCCCTGGGGAGGAGCTATTTTGAAGTAGCGGTAGTGGGGTGTCCACACTTCTGCGATTCCGAAACAGCTATTTCGGAATAAGCATTATTCCTCGTGGAATGAGGTTTACAGATTTCAAAATAAGCCGCCCTTGATTTCGAAATTATTTCGAAATAACAGAATTGCTCTGCAGCTGCTCGCGTTGTTGTTTCGAAAGAACGTCAGTTCTACAGAACCCCTAGAGCCTTCTGGATACATGTCACCTCAGGAAGAGAAGCGGAGATAAAATTTCTCAATGGCTTAAATGACTGCTTCTTGGAGCAGCTGGTGCAGGAACCCACAAGGGGAGAGGCAATTCTCGATTTAGTCCTGAGTGAAGTGCAGGATCAGGTCCAGGAAATAACCGTTACAGGACCGCCTGGGAATAGTGACCATAATATAATAACATTCAACATTCCTGTGGTGGGAAGAACACCTCAGCAGTCCAGCACCCTGGCATTTAATTTCAAAAAGAGGAATTACACAAAAATGAGGAGGTTAGTTAAACAGAAATTAAAAGGTACAGTGACTAGAGCCAAATCCCTGCAAGCTGCATGGAGACTTTTTAAAGACACTATAATAGAGGCCCAACTTAAATGTATACCCCAAATGAAAAAACATAGCAATAGATCTAAAAAAGTGTCACCGTGGCTTAACCACCATGTAAAAGAAGCAGTGAGGGACAAAAAGATATCTTTTAAGAATTGGAAGTCCAATCCTAGTGAGATAAATAGAAAGGAACATAAACACTGTCAAATCAAGTGTAAACATGTAATAAGAAAAGCAAAAAAAGATTTTGAGGAACAGCTAGCCAAAAACTCAAAAAGAAATAACAAAATGTTTTTTAAGTACATTAGAAGCAGGAAGCCTGCTAAAAAACCCATGGGTCCCCTAGATGATTGAGCTATAAAAGGA